TTTTTCCCATGTGCCGGGATTTTGGCGTCACGCGTCTAGTTTATCTATACATTTCGTTTTTGACGGCTTTATTTTTATTTCTGTTTAATTTTTATCTAAAGAACTTAGTGTAAGGTAAATTTTGAATGTTGGTACCTAATATATTTTATATTTAATAAGGGTAAAACTAAAAGAGTACAAAAGAAACCATATCTGTTTAATTAAATCTGATTCATAAAATATTTTGAAATTCTATTTTCAAACAGTTGCTTCTGGAGCATAAAGTTTTTATCGTGATAGCCCCTCATCATAGTTGTTTCAAGGATGCAACATAAATGCATCGATCGAGCATTGATTGACTAGAAAGGGAGCTAATTCTAATTTTATTAAAAAAAATGCGGTACTCATGTACACTACAGAAATTCTCGATATCGTAGGGGTAATATTAAAATATAAAAGGACCCAATAATAATTCAAGTAGACCTTCATGTAAAATTATGGTATTTTTGCTTAGTATTATTACGATACTCTGTACTACAAAGTATAAAATAATGGTACAATTAGGATAATTATACTACGAAATCCGACCCTGGTTTCGTCGTGTTTTAATATGACGTTTGCATTATGACACATGCGCTACTTTTTCTTGTATGAAAAAGTTATGAGTAAAATAATTTAGATGGGCCTATCTTTCCTTTTGAAATCATTGCTGAATACATAGTTTATGCGAAGCATGGTTTATTGATATCCTTAGGTTTAAACTATATTTTTAGAAGTCTTTCTAACGAAACTTTACTTTTACTGTTAAATTCTACACCTTTCATTTTAAGTTCATGCAGCCTATAACCTATATACGTCCCACTGCTGGGCACAGTCCTCTTCTTATTCCTGAGTGGATTTTTGGAACTAATTGCTCTTTGCGCTGCACTGCTGCAGTGCGTGTTTGGCGGACTACACATTTTATCCAAATATTTAATTTCTTAGACATACAGGTTTCCCCACGATGTTAATTTTTGGTAAATCAGTACGTAAAATTGCAATAAAAATTTCATTTTGCTGGCGTAGATCGAACCTGTGTTACTTGAGTACAGTAATTTTTACGGAAAGCGTTTTTAGCCCCTGAGTTACGACAGCTCTCAAGTGCCATACTTTCACAGAATACTAGCAAAACGTTCTTAGTTAAACTTTACTTTTTCATGTGAGGAACGACAACCCAAGACTTGTTACTGGCAATAACGCATCGTGATTTATTCCCTAGTAGTGACTATATTATATTAATGCCTCAATGCACGTTACGTTTTAAAGATAGTTGGCTTAATTTAGTCTCCACATACCTTAAAGTGTTTCATGCTCGTATTTTACTCGCTCTATCTCTTCGTTGTATTTTTTTATTTCGTATCTTTAAGTATCCTTTTGGATTTATCTTACATCATTAAAGATCGAATATGACACCAAATTGACTCAACATAAGAAGTTACGGCGTCGACTAAGGCCGGCGGTAGATAATGGGCCATTAGCATGTTCACTGCATTACGAGTATTGCACGGCATAAGGACGGATAGAATTGCCCTACACAGGGTTGCTTCAATTCAGAATACTTATAGTATTTTTTAATTCTCTTAAAATACTCATAGTATGCATAACGACCATTTGTGTTGACCACACGTGTTAGTTCAGTAAATTAATTTATTTATTGTTTAACTTTTTGGCGTTGGGTGACAAACGAGCACACTTACCTGATGTAAGTGGACGCTGTGACCCATAGACACACACACATCCACATTTATCCTCAACTTAGGATTAAAATGCAAATGTGGTGTGAGTTGTCAACCCTGAGTACTAAGATGGAATGCCTCGATTCCAGTAAAAACGGTCTCCGGTTTCTCTACACTTACCATACGAAATATCTGGTGATCTGTGAGAGCGTGTTCCTGCCCCAACCCATTCGTGCTACTATTATAATATGGCTGTAAGGTGGCTCTACCACGTAAACTTAGAATAAATTAGCACAATTCCACAAAAAGTAAAGGCTATAAATCTCTTAAACCTATCCCAGTAAGTTCATACAAACATATTTACTTATTTTTCCCCTGAAAAATATTATTTATTATTGTTTCAATAAACTGTACAATTCATTAAAACTAAGCCTTAATCGAAAAATAGTCTATAATAAGAGGCACCTGAACTAGGATAAACCTATATCTTAGGAGTATATGATAATTGATACCCTAAACAAATATTTTCTGTTTCTAATATAAAATGTATAACTTACCGGGTAATTGGGGCTAACTTCATTAAAATAGATAATCATAAATTAAAATATAACAATCATCAATTTTTCTATATCGTAGTAATATGACCATGTAACCATGTTCGAATTACATCTTTTTAATGTGCCACTTTTAATGGATACGTGTATAATTCATGTACAGAAAAAAATCTGTACATGTACATGAATTGTTCGGTTAATAGTTTAACTTAGGTACCTTATTTTTGCGTCTTTTATCTGCGACCTCTCTTCTGTAAGGCAGTTTTATGTGCTGTTTTAGTAACGAATAATTAAAAACACTGAGACAAAGATTTATATATAAGGAATAAAATAAGACTGAATTTTGCATACTGACAGAATTGCCATGTTTCTATGTTTTGTTTTATTTCTATAAATTAATTATTTTCAAAACTAGGAACCCTTCAAAATTACTGAAATTGTACCAGCTCGGTCGTTTGAATACAGTGCGACATCAGTAAAATATTAAAAACCTATTCTTCAAATATCTTGCAATCCAGAATAATCACATAACATCAACACGCTATCAAATGTTTTAATTATTATGATCATTTATATTGATCAGTTCAAACTACGACTGTTGATATATTTTAAAATATTGCATTTTCGATATATCGATAATTATAAATATCTAGATATCGGAGTTTTATATATAATTTTATTTATCGATGTATCGAAAATCCGATATTTTAAAAAATATCAACAATCCTAGTTTGAACTAATCAGTTGGAATGATCAGTTGAACTGACCGTGTGAGTCGTTCACAAGAGAAAAAATAATGGAGAAATAAATACATTTTTATTCTATATTTTATTTTTAAACAGTAACACAATTGGGACTTATCACGTGCAGTCTGCTTTTTATAAACATGTCGCAGGTTTATGATAAATAAAATCAGGTTTTTTATTAAAAACTTAGTCTTTTTATCAAGAACCGGAAGAAGATAGAATTACTACTTTATGTTATCATAAACTTAAGAAAATACAGCTTTTTGATCAAAAAGCTAGACTGATTTAGCTTTATAAAATTAATCTTACCTATCCTTAAATTTTATCATAAAGGGAGTCACAGAATACGCAGATACGATAATATACGAAATGATATGAAATACATTCACTCGAAATCCTTCAAACTTATTAGACGTATTTTTTTTGGAACGAATCGCTGTCATATTCGTATCGTAATATATCTGCAGATGTTATCTACAGATATATTTATATGAGCAGATAATATTGTCACCGCCTTTCGATATATTATGTCGGTGCTTACAGATAACAATAAATTATAAATTATCTGAGCTTTGTGTGTTAGTTTATGGAATTTCGTAGACAGCGATATTGATAGATATGCACTCAGACACAGATATCTTATCGTATCTGCGTAGTGATCGACGCGCTTAAACCTAAACAGGTTCAGGTTTTTGATCAAAACACAGAATTTTTTCAGATTAATGATAGAGTTACGTAATAACTTTGTCTTCTTCTGGTTCCTGGTCAAAAACCTGCTTTTACCATAAACCTGCGACATACACATATTGATTATTGACATTTGAAGTGCATATATTATATACTTGCCTTCCCTGCGTGGAGCTGGAACCCGTTCTTTGAAAACTAGACATACATAATATTATGTATCTAAGTGGTAGGATTTCTTTTTAATACAAGTAAGGTTGCCAAACGAGTACACAAGTGTACCTGAGAGTGAATTCTGTGGCTCATATACACCAACATTTATACTTATTCGTAATTAAAATCCGAGCCTCAGATGGTTAGCGCTCGCCGGGTTCGATCCCCGCCGGCACCAATGAAATTGTTAATTGCAATTTTAAGTGCTGATTTATCACGGGCTCGGCGGTGAAGGAAAAGATCGTGAGGAAACCTGCATGTCTGAAAAATAAGAAAAAAAAATTCGAAGACATGTGAAGTTCGACGCGTTGGGGCCGCGCGGCGGACACATCCTTGCCCTAAAACCCTCTCAGAAATGAGGGGAGGCCTGTGCCCAGCAGTGGGGCGTATATAGACAGTAACTTTAACTTAACTTTAAACTTATCTAGCACTTATTCAAACTTACGCAAGGTGCGTAGTATGTATTGATGGATGTAGCCCTAGTGATAAAAAGACGATGAAAACTCCGTCCAAAAAGTTTGCTATGATTTGATAGGCCTCCCCTGGCCTGTGCCTAGCAGTGAGACGTATATAGGCTGTAACTTTAACTTTTAACTTTAAAATCCAAATACGTATTGTTCGTTGTCATCCAGCCTCTGCATATCAATTTTTGTGGAATAAGGAAATGTCTCGTTATTAGTACAAATAAGCTCTGCTTTTCGTCCGTCATGATTCAAAACCCAGATTTTTCTGCTATAGTATCCCATAATATATTACTTTTTATTAGGGTTGACCCACACGTACCACAACCATACCACATCGCAGCTACAAAATGTGGTCACGTGTGAACAGTGTCGCTGCAGCTTTTTGCAGTTAGAAATGTCGATGTGGTTGCGCTGTAAGATAAATGAAACCTTGGAGGAGGACTTAGGCTACCTTTTATTCCGACCCCGGACTAACGTGACGTGACGCGCGGGGCGCAGCTAGTTACATATAATTGGGTAATTTTCAACAGACTTCAAAAAAAACTATCCAGTTGCTGATGATCACGAAATTATATGTTTAACGTAAATAAAAAATGATTTGGAAAGAAACAGACAGATATTGATAATCCATGTTTATATCGCCAGGTGGGCGGCGTGGTCGGCGATGGGGTGCTTCGGTTCCCCGGGCGGTAAGAGCACTGAGGGCGAAGACCTCAAGTCGCAGAAACGCCGCAGCGATGCCATCACAAGGCAGTTGCAGAAGGACAAGCAGGTACACAGACATCCTTCTTATTTCCATTCTTAAATCCAAACGACAGGTAAATACTGACTATACAACACAGTACCTGGTGTAATGTATGTTAACGAAAGCACAGAATACTTAATATTTTAAGGTAACAAAAATAAACCGAGAAAAATATATACTTTATGTGACTACTGAAGAACAATTTTTTTTAATACAAAAAGAGGTTTTATTCGTCGTTTCCTCTCCGGTCAGAATCTCATTTTCAAACGGCCGTAGAGAAATTGAATAAAACTAATTTTGCTGCTTTTGTCACATTTAATTTTTACTTATATTTAATTACCGACGCGACGTTTCGATCGAGATAGGATTAAAAATTAATGTTTAATAGCTGAAGGTGCCCGGGTTAATCAGGTTGTCAAACACCCAGATCCTGGTGACAATGGGTGCTGTAATTACCGAAACACCCGGATTTAAAAATATGGTAAAATATGCGCTATAAAATTAGTAAAATTACTTTTATTCAATATGTTTTGGTGTTAGGACACCTTTACTACCTAGGAGTCGGTTTAGGTAGGTACCATAGAATACTATAATACATAATAGAATGGCTGTCAACCTTATTTTGTACGAGGATCAGCGTCGCCGGGAGCACACATACAAGCAATTATGTATTATCAGTTATCACTACTTCAAACCCGATTCGCAGTGTTGACAGACTGAGCGAATTTACACATTTTAAAATTTTGATTGATGTTTTGAGACATCAATATTTCTTTATTTTTGTTTCTAATAATCACAAAATATAAATAGTTTCGACTTACTTTTGGTTGTAGGATACGATCGATCGACACGTAATTATTGTACAATTTGCCATTTTTTAAATAACTTGCATGCAGCAACGCTTGATACGAAAATTGGACACGATTGATTGTGTTGACATTTATAGGTGTGAATTGACATGTCAGTGGCTACACGGGCTTCACCCACTCCGCCGTTCTATTATGTATGTATTATAGTATTCTATGGTAGGTACTACCCGCTTACCTATTTCTACTCTGAGGCATTCATTTTAATCTTTAGAGGTGACGACGCATCTTTGGCCTTCGTTGTACTACATATACTAGATCCACCTGATGGAAAATAGCTGGCTACTGCTTACTCTCCCTCAGGTGAACTGTAAGGTCGTTCGTCACTTCAGAATTATTAAAAAAAAAGACTTTCTGAAAGTATGTAGAGTAACATAGGTATAGGACAGACAGTAATAAGAACGTCGCATATTACGACTCAGTAAGACATGTGAGCATTATATCTGCACTACATGCATCTTACACATTATATATTAGCTTGACATGTATGTATTTGATGTATAATTATTAATTATAACATATTGTAAAAACCGATTTCAAATTGCCAAACTATTTTGGCAACTTTAGTTATTTATTTGCAACTCTTAGGGGTGGAATTTTACCTACAAATTTGTATGGAAACACACTTGAGAAAAAGGCCACCTACTTAAGAAAAAAATAATCATTAAATTCGATTCTTAATCTGCGAAGATATCATATTAAATTTCTTAAACAATAGTCCAATATATGTATAACTTTTTTCCCTATTTTCTACCCTTGGGGCGAAATTTTTCTTCAAAATTTAATAGGACCACCCTTAAGGTAAAGCCTATTTAATAAAAAATTAATTATTAAGATCTGTTCACAATGTGCGAAGATATGCGTAACATACATACCAAAAAAATACATTCAAATTGGAAACCCCCTCCTTTTTGAAGTTGGTTAATGAATATAATGTAATATTGTAGTTCAGATTTTACGAGTATCAACTTCTTGATGCCTTTATACTTTAAAATTTTGTAGACATATTAGGAACCGATGACAATATAATTTATTCATGCCATGATCCATGAATAATTATAATGTCCTCCAGACATCATTTCGGTCACGACGGCCAGTCGCAAAACATGACTATACTCATAGTTCGATCGGACGGAAATCCGACACGACCGGAGAGAGATCAGGTGATCGCCAGACCAAGGGTTTTACGTGCTTTTCGAGGCACATGGCGGTGAAACACCGCCAACTTACTGACTCCAGGCTGCTGCTGTAAATTTATTAATAGAAAAACCTTATAACTGATTTTGGGCCGACCCGACATTCGAACTGTGAAATTATCAGCACTTAAACCACTAACCTCCATCCTCCATAATTTACTGGGATCAACAAAGCTGATAAGTTATTAAAGGGGGGAGAGGTGAAAGAAAATTTGAATCATTTATTAATTTTTAAATTTATATTTACTTTTCTTTCGAAGCGACGTCTAGTATTTGTCGATTTCGCAAAGCGAGTGCATATAATTCTTTAAAAAAAAAACCGGAGAAATTATTGCACCTTGGGAGGTCGGGAGATTAACTATTATTACCGGAGTCTCCCGGGCAATCCGGGAGGTTCGGGAACATTAGCTGTGGCTCATAGACATCTACATCTATCTTCGATAACAAATCAAAATGCAGATGCGTTGTAACCCGTGAGGACTAAGATGGAATGCCTTCCAGTAAAAAGGGTCTCCGGTTCACTACACTCACCAGACGAAACAAAGCAGCGTTAAGCTGCAATTTTACTTTGGTATTCTGTGAGAGCATGTAGAGCAAATATGAAAATACTACAACTAATAATAATAAGCTTTTTATTTGTCTCAGTTTACAAATGTTATTAAAAATGTACAAATAAAAATCATCACAAACTTAACTTAGAAACATACTTAAGTAACTTTTTAATTTTTTAATTTAATTTAATAAAAGTAACGAGACAAACTGGCCTGTGACTCAGCTATGATGATTTTAGGTCACTGCTGGTATTCTGTCATAGCCGACTATTTTAAAAAACACAGCATCTTAACCTAATTTTGGCATTGACGTAATACGACTAAAGAAGAGACTAAAATATTTATTCATATGTGCTCTGTAAATTTAGGTAAAGGAGACAATCGCCTCTGGGCCTACCAGCAAAATCAACGACCCTCAATGGTATTAGCCCAAAGATGTTTTGAAAATCTAAGCTGAATCATGAACTATTGTAAGAATTAAGAACTAAGAACTACACCTGTAAACAATACTACATCAACACGCTATAGGTCTAAAATCGCACTGGCCTTAAGTCCACGTTTGTCATCGTACTATAAGGTGTAAGCAATAAATGTTAGCTTATTGGAAGTTGTAAGCGTTAAAGTTTTACAAAATAAATCAAACAAAACCAGAGTATCTGACGCACGGGGTAGGGTGTCAGCCAAGTTCGAAAATTGTCGAGACCAGCTGTGTGTATTTCATCCCCTTCGAGCCAATTCGAACTCCCCATAACTTAACACGATTAGTTTTGGATAGTTAATAAGGATCCCTTAACCTTTCAATCCCCATTAAAATCCCATGCAGTCGCATGCGTCCGGCATATCCCGAGCGGTCGCATACCGCACCCACCCACCGCACTTAAAACCATTAAAACTTATATTTAGAGACTACTTTTCTAGGAAGAAGTTTGACATTATAAAATCTATACAAAATTCTCTATCCTGTGGTCTAAACAAAAGTCAGGTTTTAATTAATTACAAAAAGATTTTATTGTATTTTGATAACAATAAAAGAACATACCAAGCTGTATATATTTACACAACCTATTTCGAGCCACTTCGAACTCCCCATAACTTAACACAATTAATTTTGCATAGTTAATAAGGATCCCTTAAATACCTGGAATACCAAATATCATAATTCTTGAGTTCTAAGAGAGAGTGTAAATTCCTATAGCTAAGCTGCTGTGAAGCTGTATTGCCGTTCAATTCTCAACTCTTATATAGGCGAATCTGACAACCCCGAACGTTGTACTGAACTTGGCCACATTAGTTGTTACATCAGTTCATTTCTTAAAAACTTGATAACATATATTAATGGCAATGTTTTACCTTACAGCTGTACCGCGCGACTCACCGACTCCTGCTGCTCGGCGCCGGTGAGTCCGGCAAGTCGACCATCGTCAAGCAGATGCGGATCTTGCACGTAAACGGCTTCTCCGACAAGGAGCGTCGCGAGAAAATTGAGGATATCAAGAAAAACATACGTGACGCTATACTTGTGAGTGTTGAGTTACTTGAGCCTGTTGGAGCACTTTATTGTAAAGATCGAGATCTTAGAAATAGACATTCGATCATAAACTTCTTAGTGCACTACAACAGCTCCTATTTTGAATGTACTATGGACGTATCACGCACGAAAAAAACACGCCAGTCACTACTACGCCCACTAAAACGTAATAACAGTGTATTAAACCTGTTGTATAAGTACAACGCATATAGCGACCGTATCATCCCCATAGAATATATGTATGACTGTGGTGCCCATTCTATTAGTTGTAGCTTATTTTATTTGGAAGGGTGCGTCGGAACGAGCTTTGAGAATTTTTTTTGATGACAATTACTTACTACTTTTACATCAAAATAGTTATACCATGGCTGTTAACCAGGCAGTGTAAGAATGTCCAATACCCTAAATCATGTTGTGGTAGAAATAGGTGAATGGCAACAGCATCTTCCTGATAACAAAAAAAATTATGAAAAACTGCAGTTGTGTATCCGCCTGACAAGCGTGGCAACTATTACAAAATCCCTCATGAGGCAATCTATATGGAAGACCGATATTCATCGGTAGACTTTTATAGGTTGTAGTGGATGGACGGTAACTTTTAGAAAATTGCTATTATATTGGACAACGGTTAGCCATTGAGTTATATGTACTAAGTACTAGAGAAGCTATTCCAAACAAAAAATGTGCACTATTCTATGTGAGTCGTGCATGCGCAGTTGATATAAGCGCGCTGTGCGCCTGCGCGAGCATTTTCCATATGTATGCATAGAGGGAACAGAGTTGAGTCAATATACTTGTCTCACTTTTTCTTATTTAATTTTGCAATAAGGCAAAAATAGACAAATCTATTGAAATATGTTGTGTATAATTCAAGCGTGGAAATAGAAATGTCAAATGGTCATCTTTGGTCTCTTTATATTATGCCAAATATGAGAGTAAGTACACTTGTATGTTATGATTTACTGAAAAAAATGACATCTCTATTGTAGTAGTATTATGTGTAACCTTACTTCACAAGATATTATGTCTTTAACCTGTAGTGATTTCGTTAGCAATGTTAACTACAACCGACATCGATGTTTAGTTATTTATTTTTATTACTCTATAATATAGAATAGCATGTTATGCTTAAAAATATTTAAATTAAAATAGGACTAAGTTAATTGTTTTCTAAATCAAGATATTTGTTTCGCAAACGTTTAAAAACTAATAATTGGGGTATCAATACTAACTCTTGACAGACACGCAGTACGTGAGCTAGTTTGATCCCGTTTGTAATCCCAATTTTATATGCTGTCTAACGATCCGCCCTGGCTTTGAAACGACTGTTTCCTAGTGTTCCATTTACCGGATCCAATTGTAAATGTGAGTGTTCATCGAAATCTGTCCAGCCTTTCTGAAGTGATGATCTTTCATACATACGGGAATCGGTTTTCGGTTGTTGGTTTTTATTTATATAGATTTATCACTTGCTTAGTGGAAATATAAACCATCAATTATATTTAGCAAAGCTTTATCTGCTTGGATGAAATTATTCAAACCATGAGTAAGGAGGTCTGTGATGCTGTGTACGGCAGTGAAAAAGAATTCACTACTTTCTACCAAAAATATAAAAAATATTTATTATTATTACTCAGAAGTCTAAGACCCCATAAATCGTGAGTATCGTAAAAGACGACAGAGAAAAATGAAACATGAGATTAGTGATGCAACGGAAGTGTCACATCGGAAACAGAAACGAAAACAGATGTTAAAAATATTTTTTAAGGAAACGGAAACAGAAACGGATACGGAAGCGGAAATACTATAAAAAAATTACAAATAAAACTTTTAATTAAGGGGAAATATAATCTCAAATGGCTTAGCAAGATCCTTCGTTATGCCGAAAATATTGCAGCATTAATTTTGAAATAAATATATGGTAAAGTTGAGGATTAATGTTAATGATTATGTTACGGCGCCTCTACACGTTGGCCAACACAGTGGCGAATGTAGTGGCCAATAGCATTGGCCAACGTGTAGACGGGGTGTTTGGGCTTCATTGGTATGTATTGGAACGATGGCCCGCAAGTTGGCGCGAGATCCGTGTGGTGTCGGTTTGTTACAAAAGATCAAAGGATTGTTGGCAGAGTTTGGTCGCCGCGTCCACACGTTGGCCGCGAGTTTAGTTTGCTACAAGCCACCAGAGTGATTACACGCATCTGATTAAAATTTTATATTCACGCTTTGTAGGGTGGATAACCCAATTACCAGCCTTTTAATGCCAATTTCCACTTTAAACATTCTTACTACTTTAATTCGCGCGATTTAATTATTTTTAAACATTTGTTTTAATCGATAAGCTATTTATAAAAAAAAATAATGAACATTTATTTGCAATCAGATTATTATTATTATTATATGGGGTATCTATATAGTTTTCTCATCTGGTTGGGTTCTATAAATATATAATTATAAATGAAAATGAAAAAATAAATATACATAAATATCAATAACATAAAATAAATATAAAAGTACATAAATAAATAAAAGCCCAACCAGATGGAGGCCCTCGGCAGGGGAGACCAAACGGCCGAGGGTTAGGGGGAAAGGGAAAGAAACCGGCGGACGATGCGGGCGGTATCGAGGAGCACCGCCTTCTGCATTTGAACCTGGAGCGGTCCGCCACGTAGTCCCAGCCGCCTCAGATGACCCGAGAGGCTGACTGGGATTAGCCCGTTTGCAGAGACGACTACAGGAATAATTTCGGTCGGCAGACCACCCCACATGTCGGTCACCTCGTGAGCCAGGTCCAGATATTTTGTTTGCTTGTCTGTTTCGGCTTTCACGAGGTTCTCGTCATACGGAATGGTAATGTCGACCAAAAATATCCTTGACTGTGCCCGGTCCATCAGCACAATATCAGGCTTATTCGCAAGAATAGTCATGTCTGTGTTGATGGCCCGGTCCCAATAGAGACTGGCGCGATCATTTTCGAGCACGGCTTCCGGCAAGTACTTGTAATACGGCAATTTCCGGTCCACGAGACCGTATTTCAGAGCGAGCTCCTGGTGTAGAATTCTGGCTACTAGGTTGTGCCTGTGCAAGTACTCAGAGTTAGAAAGCGCCGAACAACCGGAGATAACATGCCTAAGTGACTCACCGGGATGGCGACAAGCTCGACAGATGTCGACGGTGCCATCCTTTAGGATGTATCTCCGATAGTTGTTGGTCTTAATAACCTGATCCTGTATTGCACAGACAAAACCCTCGGTTTCCCCGAAGAGATCACCAAAGCGTAGCCAGTGGAGGGAGGCTACTGTGTCTACGAAAGGCTCATGTAGAGCCTTGTAGATCCTCCCGTGGAGCTCCTTCTCCTTCCATACGGTCTCTCGGTCGGAAATGCTCTGCACTGCCGGGTCTTGCCATTGCTCGTTGGCTAAGGATAGAGGGGTAAGTCCTTTATCACAAGAAATGACGTCCTTATAGAATGGATCATCCGATCTCGCCAGGAAGTAATCACGGAGGCTGCACACTTCGCGATTATGCATGGTGAGCGCGCTCAAGAAGCCACGACCACCATGCTTCCGCGACAAGTACAGCCTCATTACCGACGATCTCGGATGATGCATCCTATGGGACGTCATGGTAGTGCGGACTTTTCTATCCAGGGCGTTAAGTTCAGTCTGAGTCCACCTGAGTATGCCAAAGGTATACATGAGGACAGGCATGACCCAGCCGTTATATGCGTGTGCCTTATTCACACCGGACAAAAGGCTGTTAAGCACTTTGGTCAAGCGTGCATAAAACACGTCGCAAACTGACTGTTTCATACCAGTCTCATCGATACCGATGTTTTATGACATACCCAGGTATCGGTATGTTTCAGCCTCGGAAAGGGTCCTTAAGTTGACGGGCATAGATAAGTCTACGCCCTCAGAGTTAGCAACCCTTCCCCTTTCAACATGGAGGACCGCACACTTATCCGTCCCAAGCTTCATTCCAATGGAATTGCTAAATTCACAAGTGATGTTTAGCAATTCCATAAGATGGGAGCGACTGGAGGCGAATAACTTGAGGTCATCCATATAGAAAAGGTGGGTCACTTTTGTCCCTCCTCTCCGTAGCTGAAATCCCCTCCCGGAGCCCTCCAGTAAGGTACTGAGAGGGTTCAGAGAGAGGCAGAACCAGATTGGACTCAGACAATCGCCCTGGAAGATACCCCTTCTTATCCTTATGTGGTTCTCCGCAGCCATCATCCGCTCGCCCAGATGACAAAGGATCGTACTCCACTGCCCTATACACTGCTCGAGGAAGTCTCTAACTGTACAGTCTATCTTGTACAGCTCGAGGACTCTTTAGCCATGTATGGGGCACCGAGTCGAATGCCTTTCTGTAGTCTATCCAGGCGGCGGAGAAGTTCCGACGGTTGCGTTTCACCACTTTGCCAATGACCGCGTCAATGAGGAGTGGTTCCTTGGTTCCACGACCACCGCCCCGACATCCATTTTGAGCGCGCGACATCACCTGATTTGAGTCCAGGTGACAAGTGATTCTCGCGCTCAAAATGGATGTTAGTGTCTTGTATATGGTCGGTAGACACGTGATGGGGCGGTATTTGCTCGGGTCTGTGGTACCCTGGTCTTTAGGAACCAAATGAGTGATCCCAGTAGTGAAGAGGCTTGGGAGCGACTTCTGGTTGAGAGCCTCTTGAAACTGTCGGGCAAGCACAGAGTGACACACCATGAATCCCTTCAGCCAGTAGTGATGCAGCCCGTCAAGCCCCGGACTTTTCCAGTTCGGGGCCCTACGGACCGCCTCAGCTACGTCACCCGGCGTTACGATGACGGGGTCCATGGGCGTAATACCCGCACACTGACTCGCCACAACTTCCGTCCAAGGGCCCTCGCTGTGGTTTACGGGCTCTGACCACAGGCCGCGCCAGAATGCTACAGTGTCAGCCTGATTCGGTGCTGGACCCGTTCCACTTACCATTGGTCGCTCCAATGATT